TTTGGGCTTAGGGTTTAGGGTGGGTTTAGGGGTTTAGGGGTTTAGGGTTTAGGCTTTTGGGGAGTTTAGGGTTTAGGGCTTAGGCTGGGTTCAGGGCTTAGGGTTCAGAGTTCAGTGTGTAAGGTTCGGATTTCAGGGTTTGGGGGTTTCAGGTCTGAACCTATCTTCGGTTTCGGGGTTGAAAAAAGGTTCCTTTTTTTATGAGTTTTGTGAAGAGGTTGCCTTAAGTTATATGAAGAGGTCGGCTTAAGGGTGCCTTTAAGGATTCCAGAATAATGGTTTAGGCTGTACTAATTACGGTTGCCCAGTCGTACCCCCCATGCCCAAACTAAGGCCAACCGTGCTTGTTGTTAAGGAATTGCTTGGGGACCTCCTAGCAAGGCTTGGTAATACCATCCATCAGGGCCCTAACCCGAAGAAAGAGCCGTAATCCCCAAACACTACAGCCAGCATAGATACCTTCAGTAATTGGAAAGATCCATTTCTTGAGTATTGCATAGAAGCCCCTTTGGGTCTAAGGTTTAGGGATTAGCCCCCTTACACATTCCCGCCACCCCCTCCTTTGTGCCTTTGAAGCCGTGAGGTTCGCTGCTCTGTTTGCCCCATGGGCAGCACGGGAGACGGGGGCGTTTGGGTTTGTGGCGGGGAGGCTTTTGGCTTTAATGCTTTTGGTGAGGCCTTGTGGGTTTGGGCTTTAGGGCCTTTAGGCCCTTGGGGTTTAGGGTTTTAGGGCTTTGGGTTTAGGCCTTGGGGTTTAGGGGTTTAGGGGTTAGGGCTTTAGGGTTTAGGGTTTGAGTGTTATGGTGTAGGGTTTACGGCTCTTGCTGGTTCAGGGTTGGGGCCTTAGTCTGTGTTTGAGGCCGGGAGGGCGCTGCATCTTGTTGCCGGTAGCATCTTTGCATTTAGGGTTTGGGGGTTCAAGGGTTTAGGGTTTTAGGGTTTCAGGGTTTAGGGTTTGGGGGTTTAAGGGTTAAGGGTTTTAGGGTTTTAGGGTTTAGGGTTTGGGGGTTTAACTGTCTAGGGTTTTAGGGTTTAGGGTTTGGGGGTTTAAGGGTTTAGAATTGCAAGGGATCGGGGCGCACACTTGGAGTCACACTCAGTAGCTGGGTGCTCCTCAGGATCTTCTTCATCTTTGTTATACCATGAGCCCAACCTGCTATTCAAGGATAGTGTATTCTGGGTGCAAGGGCTTTCGAAAAAAAACATAAACAGGGCAGATCCCGAAAACCTAAGAGGTGTAGAAACGGTAGCAGTATGAAGGATGCCCATGGATCATTCAACTTCATCACATCTCGACAACTGAGATGGTGGCCTGGTTAGTTGAGAACTGAACACTATCGGCCAGTGTAAAGCCTCAACACTTAAACCCGGTACACCCAGGGAGAATAAAGTGAACCACATGTGCCGATGTCAGTCGAAATTGCCCACATCCCTAAACCCTGTCCTCTAACAGTATCCCTAAACCCTAAACCCCGAAACCCTAAATCACTAAACCCTAAACCCTAAACCCCTAAACCCTAAACCCCGAACCCCGAAACGCTAAAACGTCCTAAACCGTAAAACAAAAACCCCAAACCCCAACTAGAAATGAACCAGAGCTGAGATCCGGCACCCGGGCTCGTTGTCCTCACGGCCACCTGCGATCCGCAGGCAGCACGCGGGGATGGGGAGGGGGGGGGGAAGGGGTGTTTTAGGGTTTTGGGCTTAGGATTTAGGGTTTTTTAGGGTTGAGGGTGTAGAGGCAGCAGCCGCTGTTGGGGCGCCTCTGTGTAGTATTGAACCTTCGACAAAGTACAGAAAGAAGACTTACGCCGGGTCACGTGCTCTGCAACACAGAGCCCTCGGAGGATGCAGGAGGTCGGAAAGAGTCGGAAAAAGTTAGAGTTCAGTTTATGGGTTTAGGCATTAGGAGTTCTGCAGGAGCTAATTTCCGAGATTGGTTCGACCCGTCCGTGGAATCTAAGACAATTTTTCCTGCTAAATGGAGCCTGAAGGAAGAACAGGCTTTTCAATTGGGGTTCAGACCGACCTTTTACTGGCAAGACAAACGAAAAGGTAAGAAACCCCAACATTGGGGGACCTCACCCACTTTGATCGATTTTTACCCAGCTACGATTTTGCTCCGCTTAGATGGGGTTCCATGAGGGCAGTCGCAGGAGAGCACCTTAGCATGGCTTTGCTCAGCCCCTAAACCCCTGAACCCCTAAACTTCCCTAAACCCCAAAAAACCCCAAACAACCCTAAACAACCCTAGACCCCTAAACCCCTANNCCCTAAACCGCTAAACCCTAGGCCCCAAACGCCCTAAGTTAGGGCTCAGGGCGACTCTATAGCCTATAGAGTCGCCCTAAGCCCTAACTATACAGTCGCCGGCGCACGATCTTTGTGGCATCTTCCAACCCAAAATCCCGGGAAGTCAAACCCCTAAGTCCTCAAACGCAAAACCCTTTTTGCCGCAACTAATCCCAAGCCGCCCTAACCCCTAAGCCCCGAAGACTTGTAGAAGCAACACCCAATTTGTTGTAGCAAGGGCTTTGGCTGGAATTAAGCCTTCCATGGTCTTGTCGATGTCCCGGGCAACTCTTAAAGGAACGTCATGCCATACTGATGCAAACGACTATAGCATACTACGGCCCAGTATTTGTTGTTTGTGTGTGTGCGTGTGTATGTATACA